TTTGTTTAAAATAGATGATATAGTTTTCCAGTGATTTCCTAGCAAGAAGTCTATTGATCTCCTATTAAGCCTTGTGGGTTGTGATAACTACCAGGCACATTAGAGTTGGTAAAACTGTTCTAAAAAGTGACCAGGGTGCTTCTTTGACAATGCTGGGTGCTCCATATCCTAGTTGGTAATGAATATTCATTTTTAGAGTAAATGTCCTGCACCATTGCCTTGCGTTCCATAGCACTGGGCAGTATCACCTTAGCTGTAACATAAAGAGATGTCTCCGTCAAAACTATGATTGAGGGTATAGGAATTATACTTCTAAACAGCCTTAAAAATATTAAAAGTTTATTAATGATAGCTGAATGCTAAATCACAGGAATCCAGAGCAAGGTTCACCTGAGCTATTCTTATCCCTTTATCTCCAGAACAGAGGGATAAGTGTATGACCACTTATAAGCCACAGGAAAGGTTCAGAGGTCAGCCTTCTCATTTATAGCCCTGGCAGCCACTTACAATTTGGTTGTGCGTCAGAATTGCTGTCAGTGGGTAAGAAAATTAATAGGCTTTCTGGCATCGCTATATTTTTAAGAATGGAGGACAGCCCACCAGGTGGGCATAGAGTTGATAGTGTAAAGGCACAGAGAGTGTACCCTGTCTCTATTCTGGAAGTTTATCCCCCCAAACCTGCTCTCATTGCAAGTCGAAGGGGCTTAGGATGACAAAGCTATAGAGGTAATTATGAACACACAAATCAAAACAAAGAGCTCAGAACTCTGGGACACCAAGGGTGATGCCAGCCAGGAGCACAGACTTGAGGCAACTCCTCGCCAGCTGCTAAACATCTCCCGGTAGTCAATGGTCTGTAAACTTTGACTGTCAACACATACGATGCTTCTGCATAGCTGCAGTGGCAGGTCATCGTGGTTAAGTCGTGTTATTATTTCTTCATTCAGCATCCCATTGTTCTACCTCTTTTAAACCCAGAAGTGTTTGAACTGGCTGAATTTGGCTATAAGGCATTTAACATTTTAAATTAAGACACAAGAAATTCCAAACGGCACTTAAGATGTCCTTGAGAGAAGCCCCTCACGTTTTGTGTTTGCGGCTATCTCAGATATGCCTGAATCAAACCCTTTGCATATTTAAGCCAGACAAAATTACCAAGATGCACAATGTCTCGCCTTACAAAAAAAAATGCAATTATTCTACTTAATTATGTTTTTAAAATAGCCTGACATTTAAAATAATTGATGAATATGTAATTCTCTAATCAGTACTGGGCAGTTTCTTCAGAGGTGCCATCATCACTAGGTTTATAATTTACTATTTCAGAGGAGTTTCATGAATGAGAAGATTAAAGCTTCAAAGCAGAGAAAGACCCTTCAGGGTGACATCACCCTATTAAACACTCATAATACTTAACAGTAATAACAATACAGCCTCACAAATTAAGTCAATGTATTGAATTCCTATCGGGTAAGCTAAACACAGGACATTCATGTGTAGTAATTTTTTTCCCCATACTAAATTCCCCATCCACAACCATGCACCCAAATGAACGTCAGAGCAACATGTTATACTGTAAAGGATTAAATGATATTTCAGTTTACGCCTTTATTTCTTGTCTCTTTTCTCCAAGTGATAATAGAGATCTCATTTGCCATGCATGAACACGTACATTCTCTTTCTGAGAACATTTCTGATATAGTTGGTGTAAGAGAGAAAAGTCATTTATTTAAAGACTGTCTTAGTAATCTACAGTTTTTGTTAAATATCTAGATTATCTGGTCAGTTAATTTGTCTCTATGTCCTAAGAAGAAAGAAAAACTAGCTGCCGTACTCAATCCACATGAGTTGGTATATGAATACTTATAAGGACATCAAGATTCACAGTGTCGTACAATCATGCTCCAAGCTAAACAAAAATAAAAGTAATACGGCCACATGGATTACAGTATAATAAGAGATAAAAGATATGTACAAATTCATCAATAACATCCGTGCAAGTGTTGCAGACAAAACATTTCAAAAGAACGCTACATAAAACAAAGTAGATAAATTTATCAAATGTTGATAAATTTTGAGAGACAGTATAAAAGTACACAAAACATGACAGAGAGGAAGAATTTCAAAAAATACTAAGCGGATACGTACAGTACAAGTTTACTACATTCATATTACAGAACGATGGAAACCAGAGACAAACACAATTTGGTAACAAACAGCAAAGAAAGTTTCACCACCAATCAATCACAAGGAAGAAAGACATTCTTTTCTGGATGGAAACACAGACGGCCAGAACTCATCCCCCTTCCCACTTCTATACACATAGAAAAATAAAAGCAAATGCAAGAGTTGTCGACAGCAACAGGACAGACAGAGGTGGGAGGCATTTGGCATGTCGCACCACAGGAAGTCAATCACGACTGGCTAACGATGATGGTACCTGGCTCTGTTGCAGGTCAGCGGCTTGCCTGAGAGGAGCGACCGATGGAGGAGGCACACCTGACGTCGATGCGGACCGGCCTAATTTGCAGCTTACTTTAGGTTCTGGAGACAAAGGGAGAAGAGAGAAAATTTTAGTGGCGTGACATCTGCAGTGATGAGACGGCTTTCGGTCTCCCTCATTGTCTTGTTAAATGTTCTTGGAATACATAAAACGCTTGTGACGTTTGCTAGTGACTGGAAGGTGATTAAACACTTGCAAGCAATTATGAATTGGGCTGCAATAAACATTCTGATACAAATATCTTTGTTGTAATGTGATTTTTGGTCTTTTGATATATACCTAATTAAGGAATTGCAGTATCCAATGGCAGGTCTATTTTTAGTTCTCTAAGTGTTCTCCAAACATCTTTCCAAAAATGAATTGTGGTATACGTACACCATGGAATATTATGCAGCCATAAAGAAAGATGGAGACTTTACCTCTTTCATGTTTACATGGATGAAGCTGGAAAATGTTCTTCTTAGCAAAGTATCTCAAGATTGGAAGAAAAAGTACCCAATGTACAGAGCCCTATTATGAAACTAATTTATAGCTTTCATAAGAAAGCTATAACCTAATTATAGCCTAAGAATATGGGGAGGGGGGTGGGAGGGGAGGAGGTGGATGGATGGAAGGAGGGTGAATGGAGGGATCACCCCTATGATTTATCTTACAAGGGTACAAGTGAATCTTTCTAAAAGTAGAATATAGATGTCTTGACATAACAACTAAGAAAATGACATGAAGGCTATGTTAACCAGTTTGATGAAAATATCTCAAATTGTATATCAAAACACGACACTGTACCCCATGATTGCATTGTTGCACACAGCTATG